ATATGATGAATACCCTTCAATGTCTTCTCTACAGTGTTTTTGATAACCTGCTGTTTCGACCTCCAACGCCTCAGGATATAAAAGAGTATAATGAGGTCCAAAGAGTGTTGAGGGAGGAAATTGTGAATCCTTTAAGAGCAAATCTCTTTGTGCGTGCTGATAGAATTATGAAGCTGCGTACAATGCTTGACCATCTCTCCTCTGTACGAGGCCTGACCACAGAGGAAAAAGGTTAAATGCACTTTCTTTTTTGTTTTGTTTTTGGGATTAAGTGTCTTATTACATAAATTGTAGCAGAGCATTCTGGTAGTGAAGAATATAAAGACTGATGCATCAATGCTTTTTGGAACCTATGATCCCATTTTTTTCTTTTAAAAAGTTTTATTGAAATGAAATGATCATTTTATTCAAGAAAGTCTTATCATTTAAGACATATATTTTAACTCTTTTCATATATTACTTTTTTTATCTGACAGACCCGGAGGAGTTTCTGCATTCCCTTCTTGCACAGATCTTGCAGGCTGAGCCACTGTTACAGCTCTCCTCAGGACAAGAAGCATACCACTACCAACTCTTTGTGGATAAGGACGAGAAGCTGAACCTGCCGTCAGTTCAGACGCTGTTCGATCAGTCCTTTCTTACCTCAGATATCAAGTTGAAGCAAGTAAGTCTGGACTCACTATTCTGGTTTCTCTTTTATGTAAATGGAAATGATGATATGCTTTGTTGATCCTTTTTCCCTGTGTTCATATTACTTATTATTTGTGCTTCAGGTTCCGTCCTGTTTAATAATCCAGATGCCAAGGTTTGGAAAGGATTACAAGATGTACCCAAGAATATTACCTTCCATGGTTTTAGATGTTACTGATGTTATTGAAGATTGTAAGTGAGGCTGTGAACACCCTGCTTTTTTTGAATGTGAAATCTTAACTGAAAAAAGATCGGATAACCATTATGGTGTATCTGAATATATACTTCGATAATTTTATAGCTTACTTACTAATGTTATTCTTTGACATTACAATAGCACCTCGCCAATGTATCATCTGTGGGAAGCTTGCAGAATATGAGTGTCGAGAGTGCTTTGGCCAGTGTGGGTCAGGTCTGGAGAGTATTGCATTCTGTGCCAAGTGCATGGATAAGGTGTGTAACTTTTATATGATTGTAAGAGGATCTTTTATCAAGATTAAAAGTGTATGGAAGGTATTATGTCATACCTTTTTCCTTAATTTTTTTTCTATAGCAACTTTTATATTGATTGTCAAAAACACTTAACTGAAATCAGTTTATTTTTGTATGTGTTTGAAAACCATTCCCAGATAAGATAATAAGTGATTATTGATTTAGAACCTGCTTCCACAGGTCCACAGCCATAAGAAAAGGGGAAGTCATGGATCAACCCGAAAACTGAAAGTTCCCCCAGACTTCCAGGTATGTCAGTGTTGGTTTGGAGGTCCTTACCTGAAGCTACTGTAGCATAGGGACACGGGTAGTGGAAAAGTGGAAAAGGGGGATTTTTGATATTTAGTGTGTTGGGGTTCTTGTCAGTCATTCCAGTTATGGTAGTTGATAGAATAAGCAAAGGAAAAGTGTATGTGTTAAAATTATGACACCTGGTTATTGTAAATTGAAACAAAGTATTTTTAACTTAATGGGTAGTCATGTATGTACTTAAGATTATTTGATATTACTTGTTAGTCACATGCTTCTTTCTAAAGTCACATGATTTTCTTGTACCAGATGTTAGCAGACCACTGTGGATCCATTCCGAGAGTGTACATGGAGCTCTTTGCTGTAGTGTGCATTGAGACATCGCACTATGTGGCTTTCACACGGTGTGGTTCAGGTGCTGATGCCACTTGGTGCTTCTTTGATTCCATGGCTGACAGGAAAGGTAAATATTACTGTGCTGAAATGACAAGTTTTTGTTATAGATAGTCTCGGAGGATAGCATCCCCGTCCATCTGCCTCTGTCTCTTTCTATTTGCCTTCCCTCTTATACCTACCCAACTTTCTTCCTGTGTCCCTCCTCTTCCTTTCCTCCCTCCTTCCTTTTTTCATTATACATCAATTTTGTTTCTTCATTGCCATTTCTCCACTGATAATAGACAATAATGATTGAATATCTTTCTTTGACAAAATATAACGAAACAAAGGAAAGTTCATTACCATTCGTTAACGGTGCAGTCATTCTCTCCCCATTGCTAACATTTCTCTCCGAAATCTAAGGGGAACAACATGGCTACAACATCCCAACAGTAGTAGAGTGCGGAGACCTCATGCAGTGGGTGGGAGAGGAAGGTAGCCAGATGCTCCACGCTGTCACTGACAACAAAGCCCTGCCTGACCTCCCCCGACGCCTACTCTGTGATGCGTACATGTGCTTCTATCAGAGTCCCAAAGTCATGATGTATAGATAAGATATATGAGGTTTTTGCAGAATTGCAGTGCATTTTTTCAGCATAATTGCAAAAATGTTGAGGAGATGAATGTGTGATAATGGGTATTGCCCCCTCCCTAGCTGTCTTTAATAAGGTGTTCAGTATTGTTGAAACTCTAACCAGTGTTGCAGAAACTCACACAAATCAAAAGAAGAAAAATAGAGCACAAAGCTTCTTATTCATAGTAGCTGTTTGATCTGTGGTTTGCATAACCACCGTAGGGAGCCAATTGCACTAACCCAGTCTTATGCATTGCCTGATTATAGCAGCACTATTACTGGGTCAGGCACGGATGCCCTTCAGCCTTTAACCAGAATACCAACTTGGTGGCAATGTTTGTCTAGGGAGATTTCTATTTACTGTTTTAAAAATTCTATCTTGAATAAGATTACAAGTACCAGCTTGGTGGCAATGTTTATCTAGGGAGATTTCTATTTACTGTTTTAAAAACTCTATCTTGAATAAGATTATAAGTCCTGCAAAGTGAATTGGTTATTGAACTGAGAGTTATGGTTGGAGCAGATTATGAATGGTACATGGATATTGCATCTTATTCTAAGTGGTGAAAGTTGCCATCAGGTCTTTTTCTGCTTTTTGGATCCTTTTAAATGTAATGTGCTTCTTTGATTTTGAAATTTGAACTGTATATGGAGTAAAGAGACAAATTTCCAGAAGGCAGGTGAGGCAGCACTTAATTTGCTATGACATTCATGTAGTCAAGTGTCATGAATACCATGACTAGAGATAAGTGTTCTGTTGTTTAGCTTTATGTGAGTAAAAGCTACTAATATGCTAGTCCAGATTAATTTTTTTTATCCTTTTCTTCAGGAGTAGGTGAGAACTATGTATCATGCTTATGTAGTAAATGATCTGGTGTTAAATACAATAATTATCTGTCTCTTGAGGTCTGGTGCAAAGGGTTATATATACTAGATGTATTTTTTTTTTTTTTTTTTTGTGGTTGCTGAATGAACTGAAATTTTCTTGTTATCACAAAAGCTTACCTCAGTTAACATAGCCATACACTGAGCAGTGAGTTTCCTATTGAGAAGGGGTTTGAGTACCATGCAAGCTGGAATTTTTTCTTGAAAGTTAGTAGATAGTTTTAATATTTTCCTTAAAAGTGAACTGGCTGTATGTTATTTTGTAATATGAGGAATTTGCATGATTTTTCTGTCCTTTTAGTTTCAAATTGCAGCCATTTTTATACTCCCTAGTGGATGTGATGACGATGTATGTCGGTGGTTAACAGACTTTTCTAGCCACATTTTGGGCTACGTGTCATGTCTCCTTGCCATGACCTGATCACCCCCCTCCTTTTGCTGCCACCTGTACTTTTGTCACCATTTATCAATAACTGAATGCATCACATTTCCATTGCATACATTGTATACATGTTTACTGGCATTAAGAGGATATCATTTGTATTAGATCATATATTTTGTAGACTATATAGTATATGGAAACAAAAGGAATAATGTAATGTTTTCACTGCATCAGCCAGGAAACAGGGAGTTATAAATTTTAGTTCAATCTTCTAAATTCCATCTATTGTGAGTTTTATGTGCACAAAGTAAGAGACTCTAATCTACAAATATTAAAAGGGAATAAAAATGTAAACTACAGCCTGGATAGATATTCTTAGGCCTCATGCAAGTTTCAAACATAAACAGCAGTCAGTTCTGCTGAATTGTACAACATTTACTAGGTAGTCTTGAATTTGTGATAGTTTATGAAATGTATAAAATTTTAATGAGACATGAATATAGAGTTGGTTTTGCAGATTTTTCCTTGTGTAGCCCCGGCTGTTGTGAACTTGTACCCCAAGGTGTATATACACCACTATTTAGGAACAGCTTCATTATCTCACATACTTTAATTGTTTAATTTTTGGAAGGCAAGTATTTTGATTTTAAGTGTATTACCCTTTGAAAAGCACTTGATTCAAGCAATATATATTCTCATAAGTCAGAAAGTGAGAAGGTAATTATTTTTTTTATATTTTGGTGTAATTTCATGGATTTATTTTGTTTTGAAAAATACTTTCAACAAGCAAGTGATGATATCAGTGTGCCTGCAGAGAAGCAGGAATGAAGTGAGTGATGGGAAGAGAAGGTAATGTTTGTCAAAGGCCAGAAAAAAAAAAAAAAAAAAAATGAAAAGAATGATGGGGAAAAAAATAAGAAAATATATACATGTATATTCATTTACAAATACTGGACAGGATTTAGAATTTTGGGGCCCTAAAGTTTATGAAGCTTGGGAGCCCCTCGTAAAGTGAAAATAGGGTTGTGTAAAACATGAGAACATTGATATTTTTTAATATGTAGCATAAACAAATAAGTCAATTTAAAGCAGTACATAATATATTCTAAAGGGCCACCAAAACTGGGAGGGCCCTTGAAATGTGAGGTCCTAAGTAGTAACTTTGTAATGTTTTGCCAATGAATTCCAGCCATTTTTTTTTATTTCCTCTGTCTTGGAATATTGTCCCCTTTCTTTAATGTCTATATCTAGATGTCTAACTTATTAAATGGTCATATGACCTACCAACTATCACATCCTTTTTTTTTCAGCCTTTATATGTTTAACCATGCTTTTTACATTCTCTTGACTGTATATCTATAATTGATCTTCCTATGGGTTTTTCATTTTTAAAAATCTGTTGATTTTTCACACTTCTGAGCCATGCATTAAAATGATATAAACACACATCAAACATATGTATATATACAGTATTTATATGCATAGATAAAGGTATGTCCAGACATTTGGACCTGATAGACAGGGATTCCTGGGAAATGATATCAGAAGCAGTCAAGCTATTGGCTAAACAATTGATTCCACTTGCAAATTAGTTGTCAGGTCAGAAGTTTGCCTGTCTCTGACATCACTACTCAAGCATACCCTCAGAGCAGGCCTGCTTTTCTGGACATGCTTAAATGTGTGTACATGTACATAGATGTATACATGTAATGCTGGTATTTTTGTGGTGTACCATTTTAAAGTCATATATAGCTTTTTGAGACTGTATGAAAACATATAAAGGTGTTCCTCTTATATGGCATATTAATCCATTGGCTGTGGGTTTACTTAATGTCCACTGTAGGTTTTTGTGAATTTTGTTGCATACAGATGGCTCCACAAGTACTCAGCCACCAAGAAGTCAGTTAATAGGCCCCAGTGGCTGTTCCTGATTTCTCCCTTCCTCAGATTTGTCTAACAACCTCTTTTTTTATTGTAATGCTGTTAATATTGATACTGTTACAGTTGTTGACACAACAATTATTTTAATGTTTTTAAAATACTAGTAACAATGAAAATAGTAAGATAATAAAAGAAAATCTAAAATTCAAGGAAAGGATAAAACAGGAAAAATAGCTAGGACACATAGTTTACCCTTTGGCAACTAAGTACTTGTGGAACAATACATGTAAAAGCACATTTAACTAAAATTACAGTAGGCATGGCATTACATTGTGCCATCTGCAGCCGGTGGGTTAAATATGTTAAGGTGAATAATGTTGATTATGCTTTATTTCACTGTAATATTAAAGATGATGACTTTTATCACTTCCTCAGGTTCCTTCTAAGTTGAGAGGAAACCATTTGATATTTTACTGAAAAATAATTGTGTGTGAATATAAGCATAGGTGTGATTAATGATTATCAATATTAAGATTTATGAATATCAAGAACATACCCTGGATTGTCTTTCCCAAGGTATTAAGGTATATATTTTTTCAGATATTAGAAAATCCAGAGCACTTAATGTTTTTCAAAAGACCATAATCAGATATACCTGGTTTAATGTTTTCTTTAAAAAAAGAAGTGCCAAAAGTTAATGAAGAGCTGTTTTTTCTTTAGGACAAGGATTAAAATGATATGGAAATTGGTTTATAACACTTAAAAGGCATAATGTCTCAGGAATTATAGTCTTGCCTTTTTCTGTTTCCCATCTGAACTAGAAGTCCTTTAAAAGATAATTTTACAGTATCTATCTGTTGCATGTTGTCCATGGTCTATTATTATGTTTTTTTTTTATTGATATACTGGTTGTGGGTAAAAATATATTTTTTTTCACCATTGTGCATGAGTGTTTGTTATTTATCTTCATCTCCAATAACTGCAGTAAAATTGTCCAACTTGTTTCCCACACAAATGCTTTCCTGCCCTTTTATGTGACAAGGGCTGAAAGAAGAAAACTGTTGCCTTCAATTGCAGTATATGTAGTTCCGACTTAGCAGCTGAAAGTGGGTCTCACAGAGCTCCCTTTTGGTACTCTTGAAGGTAGTCACTTTGCAGTTTTAATCAAAATGTACCATAATTTTTGTGTTGCATTTGTAATGTCCAGGTTGATTTGCAGTTTTGTAAAGAAAGTAACAGGAGTTTTATGTTTTGTGAGCTAATTTTCATGGTTAATGCCTGATGTACAGTATGTGTTCTCTGAAGCCATTCTTTGTATAGTCTTCATGTTGTACTTAACACTGCTTCACCATGCTTTATTACTGCCATTTTAAAGCTAAGCCAACTATTTTTTTTTCATTTTTGATGATTATATAGCCTCTATATATAAATATATATACACACACACACCTTGACAGGGATTGAAAGATTAAATATAATTTGCCTAGCCATTACCAATCAGCAGTGGATCTTGCAAATTTTGTTGGTTAAAGAAAAAATAGAAGTTATATATATCTTGCATTATTTTTATGCCTATTTGCATAATCATTCAGAATAATTCACACTTTTAAGTTATTGTAGAAAAAATATAAATGATAAATATGATAGTAGAGTAGATATTGTTATTTTTTAGTAATATAGTGTAATATTTGGAGGAAATACTGGAACTTTAGTAGACTATGTCTAATTCTGTAATTGGTTCAAAATAGTGTAGAAGTATGTGGTGAATATTAGTTGCTTATAGTTAGTATGCCTCCAAAGCCTTTACAGTCCTGTTTTAAAACATTAAAGGTACACAAAATATAATGAAATATTTTAAAGTGTTCTTGCATAAGATATTGTTTTTAATAAACTACTTGTGAAAGAATATTTTCATAATGGACGTAGAATATTCTTGTTGATAGTCAGTATACTGATGGTAAATGCAATCACACGTACTGGCTTTTTCAAGTTGTTAATTAAGATTTAAGCTTTAAATAATTTTAGAGTAACTATATCCTGATGGTATGCATAGGGAGAGATTAAACAATAATGATACTAATAATAGTAATAACTATCATAGTATATTCATTCAGTTAAAATAACTGCATCAGTAGTAATAATGTAAGTTTTTTTTAATTTATTTTAGCCATGTATGAATAAAGTATGTATGGAGGTTTGAGCTAGAATTACTTCAAATTTGTAGTTGAATTGTCTTGTTTGCTTTTTTGAATTACTGTTAATTTAAATTCCTTAAACAAAAGTATACAATTAGAGTTTGAATATATTTGTGCAAACTAACTATATATCACAAATGTTTATATATATATATATATATATATATATATATAGCCTAGCCATTACCAATCAGCAGTGGATCTTGCAAAATTTGTTGGTTAAAGAAAAATAGAAGTTATATATATCTTGCATTATTTTTATGTCTATTTGCATAATCATTCAGAATAATTCACACTTTAAGTTATTGTAGAAAAAATATAAATGATAAATATGATAGTAGAGTAGATATTGTTATTTTTTAGTAATATAGTGTAATATTTGGAGGAAATACTGGAACTTTAGTAGACTATGTCTAATTCTGTAATTGGTTCAAAATAGTGTAGAAGTATGTGGTGAATATTAGTTGCTTATAGTTAGTATGCCTCCAAAGCCTTTACAGTCCTGTTTTAAAACATTAAAGGTACACAAAATATAATGAAATATTTTAAAGTGTTCTTGCATAAGATATTGTTTTTAATAAACTACTTGTGAAAGAATATTTTCATAATGGACGTAGAATATTCTTGTTGATAGTCAGTATACTGATGGTAAATGCAATCACATGTACTGGCTTTTTCAAGTTGTTAATTAAGATTTAAGCTTTAAATAATTTTAGAGTAACTATATCCTGATGGTATGCATAGGGAGAGATTAAACAATAATGATACTAATAATAGTAATAACTATCATAGTATATTCATTCAGTTAATATAACTGCATCAGTAGTAATAATGTAAGTTTTTTTTAATTTATTTTAGCCATGTATGAATAAAGTATGTATGGAGGTTTGAACTAGAATTACTTCAAATTTGTAGTTGAATTGTCTTGTTTGCTTTTTTGAATTACTGTTAATTTAAATTCCTTAAACAAAAGTATACAATTAGAGTTTGAATATATTTGTGCAAACTAACTATATATCACAAATGTTTATATATATATATATATATATATATATATATATATATATATATATATATATATATATATATATATATATATATATATATTTATATATTTATATATTTATATATGTGTATTTATTATGTATATATATACAAATACATATACATACACATATACATACACATACACATACACATACATATACATATACACATACATATATATATACATATACACTTGCAATTACACATACACATACACTTACACCTACACATACATAGACATATACACATACACATACACTTACACTTACACTTACACTTACATAGACTTAGACATAAACTTCTACAAACACACAGGGATATGAACAAAGACTCAGAGACAGACAAGTGCATTTGTACACACATGCACACACATGAATACACATGTGGACAAATGTAGATACACTTGGAAATCTGCAGATGGACATGCATCCAGGGGCACATACACACTTGTTCCTCACTCACAAACACACCTACATGAACATACACCCAACCACACACCCATACATCCCACCCCCCCACACACAAAGATTTGTTAATGGTGCAAATACAAGTACATTTGAACATTAATAGTGAAATAACATTTCTGTGATTATTTGAATAACCTTAACACATAACTATGGATTCATTTCTTCAGATGGATTTCACATCAGTCACACAGCTTAGAATGGTCGTTATGTTATGTGATTGAGAATGCTAGGTATATTAGATGATATTTATGTTAAAGAATGTGAAACTGCAAGCTCTAGTCAGATTTCCCCTTATAAACAATGTGAGGAGTTTCTTTTGGCAAACTTTAAAGAGCAACCTCCATTGTAAAAAAAAAAACTTTTTTTTCCTTTTTCTTTTTGTCTGGATTTTGTCAGGTCTTGAGAACAGACTTCGCTTGCTGATTACTGCTCCATGCGTAGTTATAATTTTTTTCAAGTATTTTGAAATTAGGAATTCTTAGTAAATCCTGTTATTCAGATTCTGTTGATAAATATGAAGGAACAGTAGAAGAAAAAAAAAACTTTTTGATTTGAGCACATTTAAAAATTTGTTACTTCATAGATTTAATATTGTTGTTTCTGGCTTTGACTTAAGAAGAACTGGTCATTGTGGACTCTGACTCCAAATTAGAATTTATATTTGTGAACTGTGTATCATAGCTTTAAAACAATGTTTTCTTTT